CAAAATAAAAAGTGGAGAATTTAGCTCATAAAGATTCGCAAACAACTTGCGCCATGCCAGAAGATTATCTTGCCTCCTGAAACAGCAAACCAATGGGACAGCAGCATCTCTTGGCGTCAATGGAGATGGAGCCAGATTTCCCGAGAAAGGCAACTAAATCCAGACACGTTATCTTTTTACATCTCGATCGCTCAGTGGAGCGTTAAGGAGGACGATACAATGACGAGTAAAATTGCTAAAGGCAAAGGAAAAACCCGCGGCAAAATGGCTGAAAATATATCCTGAGGAACAAGACAATGAATTGACAGACAGCTTTCAAAATAACGTTTCTAAGCGATTGTTAATGTTTTTGTATCAAGGCTGATACTGGCTTAAAGAAAAGGAAACCTCGTTTTTAACGTTATGTGAGGCAAATTTTCCTTTGAAGCCGACTTCTTTGTTCGAGATCTGGATGTGTTTACTTATAAGTCAAAACAAATTCCAGGCTGTCAATGGATTTAAAGTTTTTAGAAAAGATAAGAAATGTCAAACATTTCGGCACTTCTGATCCCAAGATTTCTGCTTGAAGCATTATTTGAAATTTTATCAAAACTCTCTTTTGTCTGGAAAATAATCATCACTTTTTGGCCTCATCGAGCTCAGTCCAGCTCATTTTTTCTACGTTCCTCTGCAGGCATTTTGTATTCTTTCAGAAGCAAGAAATGAGGATGTAAGAACGTAAATCAAATCTTATTTGGTAAAGACAGTAAATTTAAGGAATGTTTGACGTATGCATGCCAAAGTTCTCACTCCGCTAAAGCGAAAAATAAGCAATTTTGATCAATTTGAATGTGATTTGCATCGCAAAAAGTTGGATCTGTTATGAGCGTGCGATGAGACAGTCAAATTCGGGATTAGAAATTAGTGATATTTTGCTAGATTTCTTAGTCAGCGGTTGAACTTTGTTTGCAAGGGCGCTATAATTGATTAAAAAAAAACGAAAACAAAAACAAAAAAAACACAGGCAAGTTTGTGTTGGTATAAATTGTAGCCAGGCAGGATGGCAGATTTATTGCCTTAAGCTTACATCTAATTTAATTAGTTATTAACAAACTTTCAAATAAAGCAATGATCCAACGATCTTTCTTTTGTAAAGCGCTAGCAAAGCAAAGGCATAATGAAAATAGGCACAACGTGCTCATACTACAATAACACAAAAAATGAAAAAGGGGAAGGATAGGAGGAGGAGGGTCAAACCTGCTGAGTGTGTAAGGTCTGCAGATCTAGAATTAGGTGAGAAACATGCCACGTCTTATACTGGTCGCTAAAGACTTTAAATTCTCTATTAAAACTCGTGAATTTACTGCAACGAGCCCTTTAATGCAATGTAAGTCACTAAAAACTCCTGAGAGTGTCTCATGATCATCGTTCAATCAATTTGGATGTTATGACCCTCTTCCCCTCAGGTTTTTCCCGTCAGTACTCCTTGCTTTCGTCCCCGACGACTCAACATCTTAGTTAAAAACCGACGATATATAAAAGCTAATCTAGAAAGATTAGGTAATAGAAGATTAGACAACGTGGACGTGCTTCTATCTCAGATTCTTGCAGTAAACAAAATCATTCTTGTCACGAAAGAAAACAGCTCTTTTAAATTGTCCCTATCTCATTTCGTTGAACTGAGGAGGATCATCAGATCAAATCGCTTTAGCTTTGAAAAGGTGAGGAAGAAAGAAGCAAGAAACTTTGAGTTGGCGAGTCAGAGTTACAACCGAGACTTGCTTCACACCGAGATCCTTGTTTAAAAGGTCGAGACCGAGACTAGAAAAAAAGTTTCACAACTTCTTGTTACGTACCTATTGCTTCACCGGCTGAATTGCAGGGTACCATTAAAGACAGGAAAATATTGCGTAATAGTGTCGTTGCTCTCTTCTGTGTTCGTTTTCTGCTAAATGTCAGCTTTTAGATCGCAAACATTTAAACTGAGGACAAAGTTCATAAACAGACTTGAGTCGTTAACTTAAGCCACTCTAACTTGGAACCCTCGGCCATGAGAAAAAAAACTGGACACAGATACTTCAGTTCAAAGACAAAAAATCTACAGGACCTATAGTTTTTAAAGGTATCACTAATTAAGGCACCCTCCTAAAAACGTACATTCTCATCAAAACAAATGTTGCACTTGAAAAAGAAGAGTCGTAATAAAATCAGACTCCACGAAAGACCTTAAATCACTACTGTAACTATGATCGTATACTACATGGTGTACTCAAAAATCTCCTAAAGTTACATTAAGATAAAGCTAATCTTCTGATCTCTTTTTCAAATATCAAGCGTCGAACTTGAAGTCGATACAGTAAAACTACCAAAATAAAAAGTACTCGCCGAACCAATTGCATTTACTTGTTTCTCTTCTTCCCATATCAATACCTTGCATGCCCAAGCGTAAACTGATCATCTCATCAGTATCTTGGTTATACGCAGTTTTGCTTCGAATGCAAAGTTATTCTTCGTCTAATGTTCACCCATGCCTCAAAGGTGATTTATCATACTGAATTAGATCTTGAGTATGTAGGCATTCAGAAAAGTGAGAGCAGAAACTTTCGCATAAGGCAGTAAAAACAAAATTTTGCTGGCAAAAGAACTCAACCTTAATTTATATACTCGAGGAGCCAGCGGGTCAACACGTTGTTGCATGAAAGGAATAAATAAGTGCAACAAAAGCGATAACAAACTTCAGTTCTCGCTTCATAGTAAAAGTCTACGACTACCCGTCTATCAAAACATAATTGATTGGCCCTGAAATGCCGTTAGAAAAAGAAAAAAAATTAATCGATCTTTCTATTTAAACTTGAGCAATTAATGATAGGCAGTGGCCTTCACAAATCATTTGGCGAATGGCTCTCCTTATTAACCCCTCCATTCATTAGAAAGTTTGGATACTGTTTGCTCACATTTCTTAGCTGTCGGGCGTTTTTTTGGGTCTTCATCCCAGCACTCTTCCATGAGCTCTTTCCAGGGGAGTGGAGGCTTCTTCAAGTATTCGACATCGTTTGGACGTGACCCTTTACCAACGAAGTTGAAGAAATCCTGGGGGTCTGATGAATCAAAATGAGTATCACCAAATGCTCGTCGTCCAAACCAAATCTCCCATAGCATTATTCCAAAGCTGTAGATGTCTGCCTTGGAATCATTCAACTCGGAACGGAAGACTTCGGGTGCCATGTATCGAGGAGTTCCCTTGAACTCCCCAGTGCTGGAATCTACTTCTTTACTAACGTTGACATCATATAGTTTCACTGTGTTGTCTTCTGATAACTTCGATAGCAAGGAGAGAAAAGGAACAAATAATAATGGTCTAGCAATATAATTGAAGATACTTGTTGTTGGGACAAGGATACTTAACTCATTTTTTTTTCTGACTCCTGTTATTTAATTATTGTGTTTAATTTTCTGATAAAAAGAAATAATTTTAGTCAGGAAACATTTCCGAAAGAAGTCTGCATTGGATTTTAAAAGCAGTGTTACAAAACACTCGATTTTTTTTTGCCACATTTGATTTTATTGCGTACACGTGTCAACAAAAATGGCTTCTAGGAATATGTAATTGTGGAGGGGTCTTATGGACTCCTCCACCACATGTACCCATGCTACAGAGTAACTTAATGTTTCAGTATTACGCAATTTACTCAAATAGAGATTGGTAAGACAATTAATTGGTTGGTTTCTTCTTTATTCCTTACCAAGATCTTCTTTAGCTTAAGATCCCTGTGGACAAGTGCCACACTGTGTATATAGTCAAGAGCAGAACATATTTCTATCACCCACTTGAAAGCTTGAAGTATGTCTTTTCGATTATCAGTGAATCCAGGGACCGTTGTTGGATAAAATTCGAAGTGCTCTTCCAGGTTTCCTTTGCACAGCTCCATCACCAAAATTGCCTTTACGTCGTCGTTTTCATTTTCGACTGCAGTGCCATAAAACTTGACCAAATTGGGGTGGTCGAGTTTACTAATGAAAATCGTCATAGCAAGCAAGCGAAAAAACAAGTTAGGCATCATTAAAAGAAAATATGACCATAACATATGTAAATATATACACCCGTTTTCCAAATTGTTGCAATTTGAAATATATATGAAATATAAGTCTTTTGTTTTCTCATCATAAAGGTGATGAACGATGCATGTATATTGTGCCTCAAAAAAAGAATATTTTGTTTAATATTGAATTTGTTGATCGTACGTTTGTTTCGGAGGTCATACCTCACCCGAACTGCTATTTCCCGAGTCCGTTGAGCCATTTCGAAAGAAAATCTGTAGCTTGTAAATTCAAAACTGCAATTTCGTGACTACATCAAATTTTTTTTTAATTGTGAAATAGCAAACGATGTCCATGCTAGCAAGGTCACAAAACAAGAAGAAAGCTAAACAACAAGGTATTACTTCGTGATTTCGTCGAGGTAACGTGCAATCGCAAAATGAACATATTTTGTGGAGATGTTGGGGAAATGGTCGAACATTGTACAAATTGGTAAATGGCGTGACAGCTTATGCTCACATCCGTGTTTTGTGCTCTGATAAAACACGCTCTTTTAATGCAAACAATGACAACGCACGGCAAAGAAAATATTTTCGCCCTTTTTTTTCTGACTCATATGTAGAACAATTTACCTCAACTGATTTGCCTCCTGAATGACGCGGCTCGCGGTTTTGGCGGGGCACACTTTTTGGAAGACCTTTAGTGCAACAGCTTGTTCTTCTCCATGCCTTGTCATCTTTGCCCGGTGTACAGTGGGGAATTCTCCAGCGCCGCGGTTATATGACCCTTGATTCCAGTTCAGCCACTCACTGCAAATATCTGCTGCACCGGCTTCTGTTAGCCCAAAAAATGCTACTTTCTCTCGGATGTTTAATGCACTGTCGAGAATTGGTCGGTAGGTCCTTTTAATCTCTTCTTTCGAGCGCTTTTCGCCAGAAAGTTCTTCAACCAACCTCTTGTCAGCTTCGATTTGCTCAGGAATTAGGGTTTCAATTTTTGTTAGATACTGCTCGGCCTCTTTTAGACTGCCTTTCACGAAAGGCTTGAGAATACTCTCTTTCGAGGCTTCGCTAAGGTATTTTACAGACAGGTTCTTCATGGCATCGTGTTTGTCAGAATAACACCACTGATAGCTTTTTTCAAGTTCTTTCCATGATGATGCCATAGAAAGTAAGAATTGAGGTTTAGAGTACGAACTGAACCAGTTGTGGAAGAGCCAGCTGATTTTCACAAAAACTCGACCCAGGAAACTGACACTTTCTGGTAGAGGATCGATGCCAGGAACGCTGAGAAAACCACCAGTCACACTGCCTCTCAGACTCCTGAGTTGAGCCTCAAAAAATTCAAAACTGTGCCGAATTTGTTGCACCAAGGATTCTTTGTCATTCTTGAAGTGGTCTTCTTCCCATTCATCTATAAAATCTCTCAGCTTCTTCTGTAGGATCTGATTAATTTTCCATTCATCATATGTTTTAGGAACTTCATCTTCGGGCCAGTTACTGAATCTCTCTCGGACACCATCCGACTTAAGATGCTCAATGAGCGTCTTCACTGCCTCATGGACGGTGTTATCCATAAGTTTCTGAAGATCAATCAAATGCTTGCTTTGTTGTTCCCTAAGAATATCCAAGCGATGACGAATGACCTGTATTTCCTTTTGGACCTTGGTCTTCTCTCTAGAGGCGTTTACCAGAAAACTGGTCACCCGGTAGGAAATCCACGAAAGAAAGTGATAAAGCAATCTGGAAAAATTATAGGAATGAATATTAATTATTTTAAAGGATGCCATCTATTCTGATCCACAGGATTTCCTAACACCAGTGATTTGAGAGTGTATTCACGAGAGCACCAGGCAGTCGTGCTACCTGCCATCTCACCGATTTCAATGAAACTCTGCCAGTTTAAAGGGTCTACCCGAAACTCAAAAAGACAAACTGGTTTCTGTTCTTGTTTTTCCGGGGGGAAATAGACCATCCCCGTTAAGGTTTTCACAAGGGAAATAGCTTCAAAATAAGTAAAATGTATGAAGTACTCACTGCAATGGTATTAAACCAATTACTCTGAGGGTTTGCATACATATTATTACATCCTTAGTTAATGTTCGACCCTAGATCAGTCAATTTGACTGACGGCTTGGTAATCAAAAGAGGAAAATAAATGACTGTCATTTTGGACTTTTCGATTCATCCAGATATTTGAAAACTTTCAGGTCATATATCTCCCCTCGCCGGAAAGCTACAACATTAATTTTGATTCCTCTTTAAAATCCATCATTTCCTCTCTAAAAATCATCAAAAAGATCTTTGGGTACTATCGCATTTTTGTTTTGGATGCCTTTTAAAATCTGCGACTGCGACAAGCTTCTCTCAAATACGCCTGCCACGCAATTCTGGCTCAAAGCAATCACTTGATCAAATAAACCTAAATTTTACAGCTCTTTATACAAGATGATTTATCAAGAAAGCCAGGGAATGTGAAAACCTATCGAGATTTTTTGTAGGAATGGAAAAGTTCACGTTCAGAGAGATGCATGTAGGCGAAAACTCGGTGGGAAAATCGTAATTCATTACTTTGGAATCAGAAAGTGTGGGTTTTGTAGGGCGAAAAACATCGATTAGTCTATAATTGGATTGTTTGTCATAATTATTGCTCATTTTTGGTGATTTTAAAGTCACACGCTGCGTGATTTTTGACATTGTTACAAGCTCCGTTGTGCGACAACTTCGGCTTATATGGACGAGAAATTCTGTACTCTCGCTTTAGAGGAAATAGTAATAGCTCTGTCAAACTGAAAACTGGGCTATTAGTCCGAATATTTAATTACAATATGGTGATCTCGTTGTCACTTACCGCCATCGAACATTTCTATGCAGAACTTAGCCAGACTAACATCTGTGGCGTGACCCGAAGGCTTTTCATAGGAATTGTTAAAGCGCGTTGTTCATGCTGTCTGCTAGATAACAATTTCAGAATATTCTGAAGATCTCTGTGTTTATTTGCTTGCTTCGATCGTAAAGTATCTGCATTTTTTTGCAGTCTATTTCTACATGTAAATCTACATCTCTCTCGGTCGAGTGTTGCCGACGTTTGATTGCATGCTTGTAAAATTCATTAAAGGATGAGCCAGCAATATTTTGACCAATAGGCTTCCTGGAAATTGGTCCTAGGTACGTCATGAATGGGGAATCATTTTCTACAGAATACTTGTTATGTCACATACTTAACATGCATACAATAACGTCCATAATTATTCCCCATGTGATGTACTTACGTAATTTCCCTTTATGAGAAAATCCGAAAACATCGCTAGTTGTTTTCGTGGGCAAAGAGAGTAAGTTTGAAAGAAAAGTGAGATGTCAGTCAAACTAGGCGTTTTATTAGGTTTACAGTCAACATGTGACCAGGAAGACTCGCCACCAGCGGTGATTTCTTCTGCCATTTTCAGATTTACCCCTCTCTTAACTTTACGTCCCCGATTTTTATTAGGAGGATACTGGCACTGATTTACGAACCCGATGGTCTGAATCTCCCACCAAGTTGTGCACGATATTTGGGCACATCGTGAAATCGCGGCCTTTGTAATCTTCACGTAAGCCAATACGAGTTAGAATGAGCTTCTTCTCGGACGAAATGTATGTTTGGGATACATTGACCTCTCCCAAATGTTCTTTTATGTTGTACACCCACGAATTTAGGAGTATGAGCTGCTCCTGTCCCTAGCCAGTGCGAGCAAAACAGCATTTGGGTCTACAGTTAGTTGCAAATGAACAAGAAAACTGCACCATCTTGATTCCATCAATTTGAGTTTTAGGTCAAATTTAGGGCTTTTTAGACACTCGATTACTTATATGGCATCACTATGAAGACGCAATACAACTGATACACGAACACTACATATACAACGTCTGTTGCGCTGTTGCGAGAGGGAGAAAAATATTACCAGGAGTGTAAACTCTTTGAAAGATATAGGACGTTTCAGAGATTTCTATCTTCGGTTGTCACAAAACATTGAGCCCTTTTTAAATTTACTGGCAAAAATGAACTTACAAACTCCTAGTTGACCGATACGCCTGTTGTTTTAATTTTTCTTTTTTCTCGGGCTGTTATAAAACAATTCATAAATTGACCAATAAATAAACTATTTTGAGATACCATTTGGAATTTGTCTTGCTTTTTTGCTTGCAAACCAAGGGTAGATGAATTTATTAAAACATTTGACAAGAATTTCGTGGGTCTCACCTCGACGCTCCAAGCTAAGTGACATCGCCCTAGTAAAATAATTTTCCAAAGAATAATGTGGCGGGCGTGAGGAAATGCACATTTTTTCATTACTGTGATCAAAGCGCAATAATGTACCTTAATTGATAATTACGGTATCAAACCATTGATCAGACAGGGTGAGCCTAATTTCTCTGTCGGCGGAACAAACCAGTAAACATCACTACACGAAGTTAGAAAGCAAAAACTTCTATTTATCTCTCAAGCGTTTCGTCTGACAATAGCAGACTTCACCAAGGAGTTTTATAAGTAGGGTAAAAAAGCTTGCTCATATACAAATAGTAAATAAGTTGTCTCTTTACTGTTGAAGCCAGTGGAAAGAATTCGCCAGGTGTGCCAATGGTGTTGTACATGCGTGACATTTTTCGGAAGTTACATGTACGAGTTCGTGATCCGTTTGAGGGTCACAGATTTTGTGTAAATAATTGACCCCTCAGCATATTACATACTCGTCCAAGTAAGATCTCTAGTTTACAAAAGTCTTAAAACGCTTCATTGCATGGATTTACCTTCTGTGGCAAGGAGGCTATAAGCGAATTTCTTGGGTGTACTTCCTCCGATTTCCCAATTTATGTTGTCGCGAACACAGTTTTTGGGAGTCGTGGAACAAAAAACTTATCGGTAACTAGTTTCATGTTCTAACGGAAATAAGTAAAAAATAAAATCTATTTTCGAGAAATGAAGTTGTGAATAACAGGGGCTCTCTGAAACAAATAGTAATAGAAACGGTTTCAGTTCTGGTCAATATTGCCTTTTCATAGCCTACTTCCAAATCTGATAAACGCGCTGAGGGAATGGGGAAAAATACATGTATGATCATGCGAGAAATAGAATAAATATGCAAATAAAGATTTGGGAGAAAACATTAGAACCCGTGTTGCTTGCGCTTTTGCAGCGAGCAGATATCCTTTGAGCCAGACCTACACACCTGAACCCGACACCACGGAAAGGAAACTCAAAATAGTGCTGTGTACCAACTGGCTCGCACGTGCACGCGGGAAAAGACATGACATTCAGTGCAAATAATGGCAAATACAGACGATATTTGCAGTCAAAAAACAGGCAATTAAAATAATAGAAGGTTGAAGAACTTTCTAGAGGTGTTACCTTGAAAAATCAAAGGGCTCTCGGAGCCAGCTCATTCATGTAATGCTGTAAGTTTGTATTGATTTCTTGGACTTGTTGAATATAGGTATAGTTGAATTCGG